TACTACTAGTAAGGCACTTGTTCCTAGTAGCGATGCACTTGTTCCTAGTAGCTTCTTGTTACTTGAAGTAAGTGGGTGTTCTTGGTTGAGGAAGCATCAACCCCGAAACGATTCAGGTGGATGACAGAGCGCCGAGGAGCCGCTTTGCTCAGATGGAATAGATTCGAAAGGACCAGGCTTTGGCTGGAAACAAGAGACGGAAAAAGGAAGGTAATGCTCCTTTAAAAGAGGGCTTACCTTCCGCTTTTTATATATATATATATATATCTTGTTTGTTATTCTTTTTGGCCTTGCCCAGGCCCCTCGTCTGTGAGTTCGCTTCCATCTGCATCTATGTCTGCCTCTATGAAGGGCCGCAGTGGCTACCACAGCCCTCAGGACCGGGTGTGTACTTAGTGGCCTAGTAGCGATGCCCTTCGTTACTAGTAGCGTCCTTGTTCCTAGTAGTGTCAGCGGCGCCAGCCCGACTCATCCCTGCAAACTCAACGGCTCTGGAGGAAATGCCGCCTGCTGACGCTGCAGCAGGGCTTGGGCATGGCCGTCGAGAGGCCACAACCTGGTAAGAGCGGCTAAACGTGTTTCGCAAGAACCAAATAATAGAGTACACCCAGTGTCTATCAAGCTTCAATTCAGTTGGTGCCAGGTGACTTATTGTAGCTTTCAAGATCCTTCTAGTCCTCATTTGCCAATCCAAGCTCTTACCGGATCTTACTGATAAGCTTTTGAGGTGCTGCAAACGAGCAAACAGCTGATGTATGTCCCCTGCAAACTTCAGGCCATCAACGAAAGCCAAGACAAGTTTGGATCTGAGCTTTCCAACTAAATGAGTGTGGTGAAGCTCCTTGGGATGCTTACCAATTGAAGTGAGGATCAGTGGGTCATCACCATCGCACTTGGCGAGCACTTGCAGTACTTCTGCAAGTGCACGTGATAGCATCTCGGATGAAGATGGATGAAGTTCTTCAGCTGGGCAATTGAGTACTTGATTGCTACGCAGGCGTCAGACGCTGTGATTCAAGTGCACCACACTGAAATCCTCGCAGGCTTGCCGTTGGGTGCTTTGCGGGACAAGCTTCGGGAGCTCTTGCCCAAAGATTTGCAGGAGTTGTGCGGCTGCAAGGGTGATGCTGTTTGTGTTCAGACAAGCAGTCGAACCTCATTCGTTTTTTGCAAGATTCTCAATGCCCAGTATGCCTTTTGTATTCAAGCATGCTGCGAGATACTTCGATACCTGGCTGTCTTCTACTGTATACATATATATATATATAATATGATGTATTTTTGCGATGCACAATGGCTGCCTGCGGCTCAAAGCATGGCTTTCGACTTGGAAGCACACAGAATACCTCGTGGCAAGCTCAAATGAAGGGCCTACAGAATACCATCGTGTGTTTAAAGCTACTAGAAACGAGAACGCTACTAGGGGCTCCTGGCATCGTTGCTAGGAGCAAGGACGCTACTAGGGGCTCCTGGCTGTACTACTGGGAACAAGGACGCTACTAGGAGCAAGGGCATCACTACTAGGGGCTCCTGGCATCGCTACTAGGAGCATTCTTACTACTAGGAACAAGGACCCTACTAGAAACATTCAGTGTTGGGTTCACACTCGCGACGAAGCACTGAGGCCCAGGGCCGGGGCTTGACTCACGTGTGCTTTTGGCTGAAGCTCGTGAGGGTGACGAATGGACGCCGATCTCTCACGCATGTTCCTGGGTCCTGTACATTGCACATGGTGTCAGTGCGTGTGTTTTTGTTCACGGACATAGCATGAAAGTTTAAACTTGATATAAAGGCCGTATTAACAAGTTCGGCCACCCCATCATTTTGAACATCCCGGGCTGAGGCAGTGGAGAGTCCATGCAGCGGAAGCAACTATTTCATGTGCCGTGACGCAACTCCAGAATCGACCGACAAGTCTAATGACAGATGGACTTCGGCGAATGGGTTTAATGTGAACGCATGCAGAAAACTCCTTTGCTGAGAGTTGCAACCGGGTTCCTGGAATGATTCAATCTTTTGATTCTACGCATTTTGGTGCTCGCACAGCCCCACTAGGGAAGGAACATAAAGGAACAGAGTTTGTTTTTATGTGTTTAGCCGGCCGAATTTGATGGTTTCATTGCATCTCATCAATCCGGACATCTTGGTTCTGAGCTCAGGATCAGCACCATCAGGCAACCCACTATTCTGCTTTGCTTCGGGATGAGACGCAGGCCAGCCTTGTGCATGTAGGGTGTGTCAGTACATGTCGCCTGATGCGTTGCACATGCTGGCCAGTCACGCATCAGCCGCAAGCACCTTCGGAGCAGCGTGGGCCACTTTCCACAGGTCGGTTTGCGGACAGAGAGCTAGGCAGCTAGACCTTACTTCACGTCAGCAGTGCACTGCAGTGCACCTTTTTGGGATGCTTTCAATTCAGCAATGGTAACGGTTGAAGTGACTTTGGGTTGCTGCTCTCTTCCAATTTACTTTGAACTTCTTACTATTTTCCTTCAATGGCTGTAAACCGATTGTATGAAATGTAACTTTGCCCAGATGATTTTCACGTGACATGCATTTTCCAGGGTGGTATCTTCATTCGGAAGAATGTGGTGGGATGGGTTGTCTTCATCAACATGCTGATGATTGGCCTCGAGACAGATGGATTCGATTGGCCGTTTTGGCGACTGACGGAAGTTCTCTTCGCCCTCTTCTACTGCACCTGGCTGAAGGAAACAAGTGGAGGAAGAAACACCATGTCTTCACACAGAAACGCTTATATATATATATATATGTATCTGTTCAATTTGTTTGGCTTCTGAAACACCAGAGTTGCTTTCCAAATGTATTTTTCTGAAGGAAAAGACAACCTGCCAACGCGCCAGAAAGGCACACAGCACACATGTTTAGATTTACTTTTAGCCAAGTCATTGTTCTCAGAAGTCATGACTCCTCCAAGGCTATGAATTTGTTCTGCGGCTTTATTGGATCGGTCCGGACATTTTTGCCATTTGTGCGGAAACTGGCAGAGGAGATGTGTCCAGTCTCGAGGCCATGGAGAAAGTATGACATTGGATTGGCTGATGCTTCTTGTTGGGTCAGAATGACGTTTCGCTTGCAAACTGCTGCCCGTGGGAGGAAACCATCATATATGTAATAGATGGTGCACTTGCATCTTGGCTTTTTACACACGCACCGATTGTCAATGCCCATCAGTTTCCGAGAATGGATTGCAATGAATATAGTTGCTGCAGAAGCTGAAGACTTGGCCTCTCTAAGGTGATCTTGGGAGTTGCAAATTTGGTGATGATATTCTTTTTCCAATCCAACATGTCCTCGTACCCTGGCTGTTTTTGGCAAGACCGTTATCATTTTCGATGCCAGGGTACACCGCCTGAGGTGGATGCTTTACACTCGAATAGCTCGTGGACTGCGGGTCTTCTACCTCTTCGAGTCTCTCCATCGCTTCGCAACAGCGCTATCGGAGATGTTTGCCACCCTCTCATGGATTTTTGGCCGCTTGGCCTTGTGCCGAAGTAGAGACACAGCTCAGCTCTTTTTGATTGGAATCGAGCGGCCAAAAACCCATGATCCATTGCACAAAACAGAACAGTTTGGAGGCGTCCTGACTTTCATTGTCTACCTGGTAGCCGTGTTGCTGACGTCAGGGCCACAGTATCCCAGGTAGCTTTCGGACAAAGTACCTTTTTGATTGACTTTGCTTTTGAAGTGCGGACTCGGGGTTTTGATCTCGCAGGAACTACACAAAGCAAGAGCTGGACTTAGCAGGCAGTGGATGTCAGCGGTATTGTGAACTTCTCTTTTCCACTTTCTTTCACCGTTTGAAAAGACGAAGGGGTGAAACGAGACCGTGACCATGGTATGGTGAAAGGGGCATACACTGTATATATGTAATTACAATTATATATATATATAGTTTTAAGAAGTGGAGTACTGTGTTCAGGTGAGGAAGCCGAGTACTTTGGAAGCATCGTGTCCACCATGTTCTCGCTCTTCCAGGCTCAGGGATTCCCATATTACACCTAGCTTGTCTTTATTTGTAAACACCACTCGGTGATTTGCTGTTTCTGTCAGGTGACCACCATGGATTCCTGGCCAGACATTGCTGCACCTCTCGTGCATCACAGCTTCTGGGAAGCACTACACCGGTGGAACACATGTCTCTCATTACATCCTATGACCCACACGTCTCTCCTTGGGGCCCTTGAGGCCTCTGGTGGCGGATGTTCTTCGTGATTTTCATCGCATTCTCGGTCTCCTTGCTGAATGGACCTTTGTGGAAGTGGGTGATGTAGATTGTGTTTAGCTTTCCTCCTTGCTGTGACCTGTTGCAAGGCCTGGACAATGATTTCACTGGTGACAGCAGTGGTATCAGACAATGTCATCCAGGCAAGAATCATCCGAGTCAACAGGACTCATTGAACATTGCTTGTCTGTGCTTGTCCATGCTTGTGCAGCCAAAGAACGTCTGACACCTGAAATAGGCGACGCAAGACCGGAAGGAAAAGCAAAAAGAGGCGCATGTCATTTGTTGAGCTAGGGACAACTTTCGGCGTTGTTCCACACAGATGTCCAAGAATGTTTCCAGCAAAATCTCTCAAGTCCAGGCACAAGAGCGAAGACGCAAGGAGTTTGTGGACTTCCTGAAAGACACCTGGCGGATGGAATCGAATGTTTGGAATCGACCTGAGGGACGGAGCATATGCTGGCAAATGGCAGAATGAACAGGTAAGGGACATACATACATCCATGCACGCATACATGCATACATACATTGTATGTATACATATATGTGTACGTGTATGTGTATGTGTATGTGTATGTGTATGTATATGTATATGTATATGTATATGTATATGTATATGTATAGATAGATAAGAAGATGATACTTGACGATGTATGTCACAAATAAGATATAGATATGTGCGAAGACGGAGTGGTGATCCAAGGTTTGCTTTGTGAATGCCGATGCAGATGGCAACTGGGAAGCAGACGAACCGCTGTGTGTTTGTTTGTTTTATATATCCCAACTAAACATTACCAAGGAAATCAAGTGCTGGACCACGAAGAGTTCGCAACCCTCATCAAAGATGAGCAGGTGCACGATGTGTACATGCATTCAAAACAGCATGCTACTTGAGGATCTAGAAGATTGAACAAATAGCTGAAAAGATCAAGACTAACATCGGTACGGATGTCTTCATGGCTTTGGCATGTTCAAGCATGATTCACACTTTTGAGGTTGTGGCCAAGATGGAAGATCTTGGCGTGACTCTGCCCTTGCAAGAGCTGGAGAAGGTAGCCTCGAACGGTTGGGCTTGAAGCCATTCATATGCCCATGATTCTTCTTTTGGCCTTGCAGAAGAATCACTATTGTCCAGAAACCCTGTTTCAAGCAGGGTACCATGCATGGTTGGCCCATTTCTGGCAGGCCTTTGAAATGCTCGATGTGGACGAGGATGGTGAGCTCTCGATTGATGAGTTCACTGCAGGTCTCTCACAATTGCAGGACATCCGAAAGCCTTCAAACGAACTTGGACCGTGGCAGTTCTTGGACTTGGACCAAGACGAACGCTGAGTTTATCTTTCCATGTGATCATTTTTCCATGTAAACATGGCCTTCGGATGCTCGTGGCCCTTAACCACTTTACATAACCCTTCATCCATGGGCTTCATTGCCAAGTCAAGCAGAGAAGGCGTCACGAGGGCCACCAAGGCACTCAAAGCGTCGGTGAAGGGTGTCACCACCAGGAATTCATCAAACCTTCACCGCGCTCTTTGGCCTCGTCTCCCTAATAGCGTCCGATCGCTCCTAGTAGCGATGCCCTTTGTTCCTAGCAGCGTCCTTGCTCCTATTGGTTCTGGACAAATTAACTTAGGAATGATCCCTTTGTGAACCTTCTGCCAGTCTTACCATGATCGGTCAAACAAAGTAGGTCCATACCGTGGCCAGCCAACTGATGTTCTGCTTTAAAGAAGGCAAACAAAGTAGACTCTTGGCTCCTCGTTTTTCTGAGCTAACACACTGCTTGCATAGGAGTCGTTGAATACGAAGCACGTGGTGTCCTTGGACTATGCTCTTCAGCGCATCTCTGCGCAGCTCACGAAGAGATTGGATTCTCTGGAGACCACCGTGGGCAACCGGAGCGTGCTACTCTTAGAACTGAGTGGACGAGACGCTTGCAAAGAGGGCTAGCTGCATCCAAATCTCTTCTGCAATTCCCTAAATATGTATATTCTTAAGCATGGGATATGATACGGATAGAGCCTAAGCAGACGCTCCATGTTCACTTCGCCTGCGCTGCACGTGCTGCACCAGGTCTTCTGAGTCAAGGAAACACTATTGGAGCAAGCACACACCACATGCATAAACACATGCTCCATAAACATATACCAATAAACAGGCACCGAATGTCGCAGATGTGTAACATGATGTTGCTGACCTGTTGCTCAGACGCTGATTTGAGGATGCTATTGTTGCCAGTGTGGACAAGCTGACGATGAGCTTGCAAGATTTCACGCAGACACTGAACCAATTTGCCAAGGAGATTATTTGCCAAAGATTGCGCACAAATATCACATGTCAAATCAGAAGGAATCCAATCTTGTCCGCAAGAACTAGCCTTGAGGATGCTTCAGCTTCGAGTGGCAAGCGCTGGTTGCCATCACTTGGGGCAGGAGGCTGAGTGGAGGCTGAGAGCCTTTTCTACATCATATAATTAGGACGTTTCAGAAAGTGTGGACAGGGGACATCTGGCTCGATTGTCACAGAAATTCTTGTTGAATGTTGCTTTGACTGGATAGCAGAGTGCCATGGACTTGTCCCATAGAACTGAATTCTGTACTGCGACCAACTAAGCAATCAACAAGGCCCCTCCCACCAAGGCCCCTCCTCGAACTTCACAGAGCTCTAGCGGCTAAGCGCCTGCTCGTCTACCTAAGTGTAGAAAGCGAGTCCTGCGCCGCCTTTGTCCGGAAGCGTTGCTCGATGTTCTGCGGCAGAACATCATTCCTGTTCCGACATCGAGGAGTGTGAAAGCGGAGCAGTTTTCGCACATGTTCATGGGAGGGTACTAAACTACAGTATACTAAATTGAAGGTACAATTTTAGCGATCCAATTGCCATGTTTCTGTACGCTGCTTGCTGCTTTTGAGGGCATGTCCCCTTGACAGCAGCTCTGGAAGCGCCTCGTATGACTCGATGTTTCCCCAAGATCGACTCAATCCCTTTGGCCACAAGTGCCGAGACAGGAAGCGCCGTGCTTCATTGCGAGGCAGGTCTATCCAGGAAACGCATCGCACCAAGCAGGTAGGTTGCTGAATTGCCCTCCATAGGAGTAATCGAAATGCAATGAAATGCGGGCTAGAAAGTTCTTGGCAGGGAAACGTGCTATCAAAGCGCGGCTAGTACTCACGTGGTCGAAAGACTGGTCAAGTTCTTGTGCCTTGTGCTCCGAAGAGGATCATTGGCAATGTCAGCCAACATTGATTCCTCTCTTTGGTTTACTTGTTCACTAGCTGTCGACCAACAGTCTTGCACCACTGTGAGCAGCTCATCACATGATCGGTGGATCAAAGGTCCGCCTTTCCAAGACATCAATGCACGAACTTCAATTTTTGTTTCACAACAGCCCGGACATGCTGCTTGGTTGGTCTGAAAGTTGCTCCTCTTTTTGTTGCAATCGCCTGCATTTTGAGCCTCGCCACACAGCTAGCTGTTACATGCCAAGCGAATGTGAGGAGCGATGCGATGCGACTGCATCCAAGGGTGATGCCCCGAACAATGCAGGAGCGACAGTTTTGATACAGCGAATTGCTCTCACCATAAGCACATGCATATTTTTTTGGGGGGGAGGGGGTAGGCCGTAGAGGTAGGTAGTTAGGGAGTTGCTAGTAGATAGAAACTAGGTAGCTAGTAGGGAGAGGTAGCTAGCAGCTTACGTAGCTACTGCTTAGGACGCAGGATAGCTCACGCTTCTTCAAGGAAGCTCCCAGCTTCCTTGAAGAAGCGCTCGTACTAATGATTTGGTTTCCAGATTTTTGGGGAAACTTAAGGTCAGTTCATTGCTCCACGGGCACATCAATATGCTACCACAACTCACCACAAGGATAATCCTGATAAGTTTCGGTGATCTAGAGTGCCGGACATCTCCAATTACAGTAGCTCGCACACCTTTGTTGACATTGTTTCCTTATTTTTGTGTTCTCTCTCTCTATCATCTCTAATTGTAACTTTTTCTCTTTTTTGAAGTTTGCTTTCTCCCAGCTTTAAACCTCCGTGACGGCAGGCTCTATGCTGTCTACCTCGCAGGCAGACTTTCAAGCAGAACTGAAGAAAGAGCAAATGAGCCTACTACCCAGGATGTGTTATTTTTTCATTTTTGCGTATTGGCCTTCTTCTTTCATTTGGAGGTCGTGCAGACTCTTTTGGGAGGTTTGAACTGAGGCGGCTGGTTGTGAAATTTTACTGTATGTCTCTTGAGCTTTAAACTCAGATGCAAAAGTTGCAACAAACAATCATGAACAACCCCTTGCCACAACATCAACCACAAGGATAAGGACCACAATCTCAGAAACACTACAATGGTGGTAGCAACGACCCGGCAATGAGAGCAGCCTCGATGAGTAGCCCCTGCACACACATATTGTGTAGAAGGGAATCTAGATATGATTGAAGACTCACAAGAGGGCTTTACAGCTTTTGACGGCTTTTAGTAACAAGAAGCTACTAGTAACAAGGGGCATCGCTACTAGGAGCAAGGACGCTACTAGGGGCTCCTGGCCTTACTAGTAACAAGAAGATACTAATAGCATACTGGGCCGGGTGAAGGAAGACACTGATTCTTTCTCCGGTTCTGCTTCTGATCTGCGCAAATCGGATCGAGCACCGAGGCCGTGAGGCTTTGGCCCAGAAGGCGGGGTGTTTTGAGAAGGCTCCCCTGCTTTTCTTTTGGATCTTTTGGCCCATCGAAATGAGTTTTCCAACAGGGTTCTAGCACTTGGTTTTGCTTCAACATGCCCTAGTGGCAATGAAAAGGACGGCCTTTTCCATTCCGAACTCACTTTCCCACGGTCAAAGGGTCTGTCGCTAGGTTCAGGAGCTCGAGGAGCGGCTCCACCACGCGACAAGCTCTATGAGCCAGGCCGAAATTCAAAGTCTTTGGGTTTTTGTTGTATTTTGTTTTTAAGGTGACAGGGTAGACTGTAAAGGTAGGTGGTAGCTAGAGGTAGCTAGTAGAAGCTAGGTAGCTAGTAGTAGAAGCTAGGTAGCTAGTATCTACAAGTAAGCTATTACATATGGACGCAGGATAGCGCTCGCACTATTCATTTGGTTCCTAGATTTTTTGGGAAACTCACTATTTTGGATGAGTTTGGTGAAAGAACTGATATGTGCGTCCACGTTTAAGTATTGCAAGGCCAGACTTTGGATATCATTTGGGAGGTTTCCAGCTGACGTTGGTTTGCCCGGCAGCTGCACGAGCTACTCTTGCAGCATCGCCACCAGCTCTTTGATGCTCCAGCTTGTCATTATATACCGCATTTCGGATGCACTTTGACCAGGGGCTCCACAAACCATCACATGATTGAATACCCTCTATCTGAGGATTCCTTAAAAGTTTTAATGCCCTTCATAGATTTGTCGAAAACACACATCAGACCCAAGTCACCATCGTTTTTTCGCTCCTGAATCGCATCCTCAGCATGACTGGCATTCCTAGCTTCCAGCCTGGTGCGTGGACCTCAGAACTCAGTCTTCCTTGACACAAAGATCCACCACAAAGTCTCGTCTGTGAGTCTCTTCTGCGGTGACGTTTCCTGTTTTTGCATGTTTTTGCTTTACACACCAGGTGTAAGTCCACAAAGGCTCCAGATCCTTCCTGTGAGGATCGAGTGGTGGTGAAAGTTCACCGACACAACCCGGTGCACCATGAGGAGACGGGTTCTCACAAATGGGTTGCAGCATGTTGCAGCATTGAAGACATCATCCCCACATCCTTCCAGTTGCCATGAACTTCCAATTTGAGAGGAGTCCTACAAGGTCGGCGAGCACGGTGTGGTGCTAGAGGCAGGACATGGCAGTCCCTTTGAACCTTGAGACGCTCTGAGAGCAGACGGGCAGGTCTCGCAAAGATCTACAGTTCGAGTGCGACTGGATGGCCACAGTGGCCAGCAGGGAAACTATTTCCGGGTGCGCATGCCATGTTCCTTTTGGGACGTTTTCAGATTGCGCAATTTAGGGAGCAAGCATCCTCTGCTCTTGCTTGTGCTTGCCTGCTGCTGAGACCGTTCCATTTGCAAGCGGACCAAAGGTGCAGGCGGTCAAGCCGCTCTTCACCCTTCCAGTGCGGCAGCGCTTCGTGACCGCCAGGGACCCACCCCAGGAGCCCCTAGTAGCGTTCTTGCTCCTAGAGGATCGAGTCGACTCGAGCTGAGGCCAGTGTGTTGCACTTGGAGAAGCTTCCGGAATTGATGCTGCGAGATTATGCAGCGCTCTCCTTTGAAACAAGTCGTGAAATGTCAGATGTATCTGTATATAATAATTTGTTGTCCTCACGCTGAACCGGTCAAGCACGCTTTCATGGCTTCATTCTCCGAGGTTTGGCAGAATGAATCTGAGGATCCTCAACAAGGCGGACTCGCACTTCATCTCCTTCATTGTTTTTGCAATGCATTGCAAAGGCCACATGATCGGTCGCATTATGGAAGTCAGAGAAGACGGAGCAGGTGGGACTTTGTTCAGCACAGACAATAGTGACATAGACAATGACACATGACTTGACGACTCTATAATATATTTGTAAGATACTGAAGGACGCTACTAGGGGCTCCTGGCCTTACTAGGAGCAAGGACGCTCCTAGGGGCTCCTGGCATCGCTACTAGGAGCAAGGACGCTACTAGGGAACGGTCGGACCATGGGCAGAAAAGGGGCATCGCTGTCTAGGACCCTTCTTCTTGGTGCAGCCTTACGCCATGGCCAGCTCGGAGCACTGTCCAGATAGCCGCTGACTAGATGAGTTTGCTGTCTTAGAACACATGATCCCAGCACAGATATGATTTACATTGATGTACTGATGGATTTTGCTTAATAGCATGAACAGACTTAGCTGTGTTTGAACACAACATATGACAGATAGTCAGATAGTTGCCACTTGAATACCAAACTTGCCAATCTTGGTAGTGTTTGTCCTCAAGCTATTGCATCACCCTGACCACGACCACGAGGAGTACGGACCTCCAGTGACTCGGCCCTGGTGTGCCGTGGGCGGCTACTGCCAGAGACGACCGCAGAACAGTGCACTGAGGTGGGATTGCTTGGAGGGACGACCGGCGACGAATAGTGGAGACGGTTTGGTCATTGGTTTGTTGCACAGGGATCTTATACGTCATCCAACGAAGAATGGACATGACAGCCAGAGCATATCAATGTCGAGAAGATTTGCAGATATTTGTGCTCTCTAGATCTTGGGAATTTCATATTCTCCAAATCTGCCAAGCACTTCAGATTCGTTCAGGATCGAGTTGGAGCATGACAGGCGCATTTGGACTGGGACACCTTTGGCTGTGATTGCATACACCTCAAACATCCTCAAAGGTGTTCGCTAGGAACGGCGTTGCGAACGCCCTTTGTGTTGTTAAAACTTCTTTGTGACGTGGTTCTGATTGAAGCCTAGGATAGTAGTGACAACATGACAACCTTCGTATGATGCCTTTCTCAGCCTACGAAGGTACCTCCGGGACCTCAGCTTGCAGGAGCCAGATGTTGCCAGCTTGCTTGTGCCAAAGGGACTTCGAAGTGAACCTTGGGCAAAAGTTGGGCAAAACTCTCCAAGCTCCTTGGGAACAAGTTTCCCTAAATCTAGGAACCAAATCATTAGTGGGAGCGCTTCTTCAGGGCGGCGGGGGGAGCTTCCTTGAAGAAGCATGAGCTGTCCTGCATCCAGTTGCTGGGAGCTTCCTATTGCTAGTAGCGTACTCTCTTACTTAATTAAGTAGGCGCCTACTCAATGAAGTAAGGGGGCAGGGCCACGGGCTAGAAAAGCAGGAAAGAACACACAACAACTTAAAGCAG